TTGTCCCAGCATTTTAGCTAGATAACTTTGGCCCTCAGCAAAATATCTGATTACAGTCATGCTTTGAGGAAAATAACGGATGTTAAAAAAATGTTTATAGGATGTAGTCCTCATTGATGAAATTGGGAGACAAAGTGGTGATTTTTATCAGCAGGCTTTCAGAGAGTGATTAAAATAGGCATTTAACACAGCTTTTTAAAACCCACACCTAAAAAGTAAAATAACCCCTCCCCCAAAAAACAATCAAGTTATCTCAGCCTCATATGCTCCAGGAGCATCCTATCATATAAAATACATATAAATTCCTATCATATAAAATACATATAAATTCCTATCATATAAAATACATATAAATTCCTATCATATAAAATANCGCTCGCGCAACGCCGCCACCGCCGCCGCCCAGCTGTTCGAAAAAATCACCGAGGGAGGTAATAGCGTCCAGGGGCCACCCGAAGGCAGCCCCCTCCCCAAATAATTACCTCCCCGGGAAGCCGGGAAGCCCGAATGTTGATCTCTTGCAAGGACCCCTCCGTTGTCATGTTCGGGGTCCTAGTCGCCTGGAATCTATCGCTATTATTTCTCAATAGCCGGAGCGTTGAAACTCGGCGGCCATTCCCATTCTCACGCATGCGCCTGAATCATCTGTATACAGCACCATAGCAATCTCTTTCTCTGCTAGTTTGTGTGGATGAAAATTCAATCTCGCCAGCTATTTTATCACTTGTTTTACGTCCTTAGTAGTTGGAATAGGTGTTGTCAGATGTCCTTGAGAGGTAAATTTACTCTGAGCTGTGCGTTTCTGTAATGCACAAATAAGAAGTAGTAGATGGCAATCGGTGGTGGTATTATGCAGCAGTAGTTGGCTATCAATGGTGATATTAGCTTGATTCAAGACATAGAGTCAAATGCTGCCTTAATATCAACAAACGCTACATAGAGTGAAATAATAGTCTGAGAAATGTATTTTGCAATGAGATGATGAAGTATAACACATTAATCATTTGTTGAGTGGCCTTCCCTGTATCCTTCCTGTTCCATCCAGTCTACTTCCACTGAAGATGTCTTGCACAAATTTAGCTTATAATATTAAGGAAAAGTACAGGTTGATAGTTGGCAGGAACAGTCTTTTCCCTTTCTTATAGATGAGTGCAATAATTGCTAGGTCCCAATCCTTAAGCATAGGAACAGATTTATCTTCTTCTACATCTTCTTTACTTCCTCTTTTACCACTTTGGGTGTTGAAGGAGATACAAAGTTCTGGCTCTTGCTCTTCTGACGGCCTCAACCATTGTTAATTGATGTTGCTGTAGTATGTCTTTGATCTTGTCTCTCCATCTTCTGGGTTGGCCTCATATTCTTTGACTTTCTCCTCTTTTTGTATATGCCTTGTATGGTATAGAATCCTATATCCTCCTCTCCAGGTGAGCAAACTACTTTATTTGCTGTTTTTCTTTGTAATTTAAGATTAGTTTTATGCCAATTTTTTCACTTATGGTCTGATTTTGTCTTTTCTGGTCATTCTAACAGCTACCTTCCAACATCTCATTTCTGTGGTGATTACCTTTTGCTTATCTGTTCTTGTGAGTGTACATGTTCGGCAATGGTAGCATAGGAGAAAGATGAATATGCTTTCATGAGATGGGTCTTTGTGCTGACTGGTACTGCCTTATGTTGTAGGAATAGAGAAAGCTGTCCTAATTCTTGGTTTGCCTAACTGTATAGTATTTCAATCTCTTTGTCCATTTTACCATCTTTTGTGAATGTGGTTCCTAGGTACGTGACCTTGATACCTGCTTTGGGATAAACCTTTGGGGTTTAGGGTATGCTCTTTTCTTCTGATTGTCACTACTTCTGTTTCTCTTTACTGATTCTCATATTATTTATCTAGCATTCTTGACTCATGACCATAAGAAGTTGTTGTTGTTTCTTAGCTGTCGTTGCTATCAATGCTTGATCATCTGTCAAGAATAGTTTGTTATTATTTGCATTCTTGGGATTGGTTTCTTTGCCTATATTGTTAATGTAGATGATAAACAATATTAGTGACATAAAGAGGTGACACATTTATCAATTATTGATGCCAGGTATCAATAATGCCCACTGCAATGCATTATTTTTAATTAACTCAGGTGTAATAGCATCTGCACCTGGTGTCTTCCCTGATTTAAGGGAAAGTCTATAATCTCCCTGGGTTTTACTAGATACCAAATAGCCATTTCTTTCAGATCAATGAGAAATGGAAACGGCAAGGCTTGTTGATTTAAAATCTGGAATCTGTTCTGGAGATCTATTAGTTGAGCATGGAATGAGTCACTATGAGAGAGAAAACTGCACTCTCTCAGTGCTGGAGTGGTGGTTTCTGGGATAATTTTCATTTGTTCTTGGCAGGAGGCTCTAACCATAAGCAAATGTGGATAATGTAGCTGAATCAAGAGCTGGATTGAGGTGTCTTTAAAAATTCTGGAAAGGAAAACACTATATTTGTAATGAAGAGTTTACTAAAAAGAAGACAGCCTTTTAAGCCCCAAGGTAAAGGTAAAGGTTCCTCTCGCACATATGTGCTAGTCATTCTTGACTCTAGGGGACGGTGCTTATGTCCGTTTTAAAGCCAAAGAGTCTCTGTGGTCATGTTGCCGGCATGACTTAAAGCCAAAGGTGCACAGATCGCTGTTACCTTCACACCAAAGCTGATTCCTATTTTTTCTACTTGCATTTTTACATGCTTTCAAACTATTAGGTTGGCAGAAGCTGGGACAAGTAACAGGAGCTCACTCCGTTAGGCAGTGCTAGGTATTCAAACCGCCGAACTGGTGACCTTTTTGATCAACAAGGTCAGCATCTTAGCCACTGATCCACTGTGTCCCTTTAAGCCCCAAAGAAATAGGTAAAAAATGTTAAGTTTTTTTTTAACTACCTCCCAGTGTTTAGGTCCCCAGCAAGCAAGCTATTTAAAGGGATAGATAGCAGATCCAGGTTGTTTTGAAGCACTCTACCTATACCTTTGGATTGGTTATTATTAATTGTCCCGACATTACCGGTTGTTACAATAAACATTACCAGATATTATCAGAGTTTGTATAAGTTTATTGAGTTTATATTGAATATCATTCAGAGAAGTAAAAATACCTAGAACTATATAATTTATGAGTAGCAATAGCAATAGCAGTTAGACTTATATACCGCTTCATAGGGCTTTCAGCCCTCTCTAAGCGGTTTACAGAGTCAGCATATCGCCCCCANTCACTCCCAGCCACTCCTTTTCCCACCACCCTCATCGCCCCTCCTCCAGCCGCCAGCCTTATTATTTAAAGATTTAATTAGCATTATTTGTAATCGTTTTTGTAGTTCTCAATATTTTACTTTGGGGTATTTTCCATCCTTTTTGCAGGATTTCCCCTTGCAGAAGTAATGCTTCCCTTCTTCTTGCAAATAAAACTTTTGTTTCCTGTCCTCTGTTGAGTGGGGTAACGAATAAGCTCATACCGAAACTAGCAGCAATCCACTTCATAAGTTTCTCGTGTGAAATAAATTGCCCTTGGGAATCTACTGTACGGCCCTGTAGCCTGAACCTTTAAAGCAAGATTTGTCAAGCTTGGCAAATGTAAAGTTTGTGGACTTCAACTCCCAAATATCCTCAGCCAACATCAGGTGGCTGGGGGATTCTGGGGGATGAAGTCCACACGTCTTTAAAGTGGCCAAGGTTGAGAAAGACTGTTTAAAATAATGTCACGTGGGCCCTTTGAGGGTGAGGCACTGAATCTGAGTTTGCAAAGGTAAAGATTCGCCTCGCACATATGTGCTAGTCGTTCCAGACTCTAGGGGGCGGTGCTCATCTCCGTTTCAAAGCTGAAGAGCCAGCGCTGTCCAAAGACGTCTCCGTGGTCATGTGGCTGGCATGACTAAACGCCGAAGGCGCACAGAACGCTGTTATCTTCCCACCAAAGATGGTTCCTATTTTTCTATTTGCATTTTTATGTGCTTTCAAATTGCTAGGTTGGCAGAAGCTGGGACAGGTAACGGGAGCTCACTTGTTGCACGGTGCTAGGGATTCGAACTACCAACTACCAACCTTTCTGATCAACAAGCTCAGTGTCTGAGCCCCTGAGCTACTGCGTCCTCTGAGTTTGTATTTGATGCCAAATCATGGTTTGATTCAAAAGTGGCTTGTTTGGGGCTTCGCATAAAACATGTGCCCAGCCTTGGGGTTGACAATTTTCACAGGCTGCCCTGCTAATGGGTCGCAATTGCAAAACTCAGAATTCCCTAGGTAGCTTCTTGGGTAAGAATTCTGGGAGCTGCAGTCCTCACATACCCAATGTTGGAGAAGACTAAAATATTACAGACCCCTTGACCCGCAGCGGCCCAGAGACCCCCCCTTGGTTGCAAGTTGTCTCAAAGTGTGGTGGAATACAGATTGTCCTCGAGTTACGACCACAACTGAGCCCAAAATTGAGACAGTTTTTCAGTGAGTTTGGCCCCATGTTATGTTTCTTTCCATAGTCGCTAAGCCAATCTCAGCAGTGGTTAAGTTGGTAGCGTGGTGGTAAAATGACTCTGGCTTCCCCACCGAAGGCCCCCAGGTTACTGCAACCGTCATAAGTACAAGTCAGTGGCCAAGCATCTGAAATTTGATCATGTGACCCCCAAGGATGCGGCAATGGTCATGAGTCACGTTTTTCAGCGCTGTTGTAAATGAACTGTTGTACATCAATAACTACCTGTATAGTCCAGGCAGAGTCACAGGAGGGAGGGGCTCTTTTCCAGAGGGCGGAGCCTGGACTGTCTGGTGGGCAGGGAGAAAGATGGGGGGGGGCACCCACCTTAACCATTTACAAGGACTATCTGTAATTATTGCAATAATAGTGGCTTTAATCTGGCACAGTTTCTGTTTGCAGGGGTACAGCAATAAAGGAACTATTCAGAAGTCACTCCGCGTGTCGTTCTTGGTTTTGGGGGCCTGACAAGAAGGGAGATTCACTTTTCTCTGATTTCTCTCCTCCTCCCTCCCCCTTTATATTTCTTCCCTGCAGTGTGCTCGAAAGGGTGAGTGGCAGTCGGCCACATCGATGTACGACTTCCACGCACTGGATATTGACGGCAACGATGTCTCGCTGGAGAGATACAGGCAAGTTGTTTTCCCATCTGGGTTTGTTTGCTATCGGGCAGTAGGTCCAGCAGATGTGTCCAATCTTGGCGGCTGTAAGATGGTAACTTTGGTAACTTTATGACTTATGGACTTCAACTCCCAGAATTCCCCAGCCAGCCAGCTATGCCATAATCCAGGGGTGTCCAAACTTGGGAACTTTAAGACTTGTGGACTTCAACTCCCAGAATTCTGGGAGTTGAAGTCCACACATCTTACAGCCGCCACAATTGAACACATCTGCTGGACCAATAGTCTTTGACTTTTCAACCATACCTTTGTGGGGGTACTTAACAATCTGGCTCCAATACCCACTGCCCCCTGCAGTCATGTGATGATATGCCGGTCTCTTTGACAACTGACCCAGACTTAAGGCCATTCGCAGCGCCATGCAGCCGTGTGTTTTAAAGCGGCTTCGTCAAAAACCAGCGTTTACTTTCTGGTTTTGGCAAAACCACCATTGGTTCACTTAACAACTGGCACGGGAAAGGTTGTAAAATCATGAATTGGAGCTATGGCGGGCAGGCTTCATTATGGTCATAGATCGAGAACTGCTTACATCTAATACAGGAGGAGGAGGAGGAGGAGGAGAATGGAGAATGAAGTTTGCCTGATTATGGCCTTTCCCTGCTAGGTTAAGTCCTGGATGGCATTTGATTTGCAAGCCAACATTGCTTGTTTGTTTTTTCCAATGGTGTTTGGAAGAATAGGTTGACAGTCCTGGCTCCTAAATATCCCATTTTTTTTCTTAAGTCTGTTGCCAATCAACTCTCTTCTGGGTGTACATTTTTAAAAAACTACGAGTGTGTTTGACACATTTATTATTTGATGCTGTTTACTGTCCGAAGTCACATCATGTGGGATGGGCAGCCATAAAAGCTTGATAAATAAATAACATGACTCAGCACGAACTGGGAAGAAAGGTTTAGACCCCATTAGTGTGCCTGGAATTCCGGGTGGCCCTAGTCCTCGACTTACCAAAGTTCATTTAGCGACCATTGGAAGTGACAATGACACTGAAAAAGTGACAGCTGTTTTTCACACTTAACGACTGTTGCATTATGACTCCATGGTCACATGATCCAAATTCAGACGCTTGGCAACCAACGTATATTTATGACGGTCGCAGTGTCCCGGGGTCATGGGATCCCATTTTGCGGCCTTCTGACAAGCTAAGTAGGGAAGCCATATTCAGTTAAACAAGCCTCTTGCTAACGTAATTACTGCAGGGTTTCCTTTAATAGCCGTGGCAAGGAAGCTCGTAAAATGGTGGCAAAATTCACTCAACCGCTGTCTCACTTAACTATGGAAATGTTGAGCTCTATTGTGGTTGTAAGTCGAGGACTACCTGTGACCCTCAATTATTCTGCTATGCATTTTCTATTGTGGGAAAATGGGGGAGGGGGAATTGTAAAGAGTTGCACACTACGTAGCCATAACAAAATTATTTCTAGAAAGCCAAGGTCATCCATTGTTTCTGCCCCTTTGCACCTGGCCGGAACTGGATGGATGGAACTGCCAGCATGGCAATGGGAGCATGCCACCCCTGGTATGCCCAAATATGGGAGGAAGCATACTGCTTCCTTTCTCTGTCTATCGGCTTACCCCAGGAGACCATCCAGACAGAAAGCCATTATTTTTACCGTTGCCTTTGTTACATTTATGACTCTATTTATTTATCAGCACAAATGTAACACACACACACACACACACACACACACACACA